TTAGCTTCCCTTTACTTATTTATTTTTATGTATTTAGTACAGGGACTATAGGGTCTCACTACACAGATCAGACTCCTAGTGAGTGATCCTCCTGTTTTCAGCCTCCCGAGCACTGGAATTACAGGCGTGCAACACCACGCCCAGTCTCTTTCACCTTTTCAGCACACCCCAGGGGTGGGGCCGGCACAGCACACAGGGGATGGAAACAAGGTTCCTGTGCCTGTCTAAGCAGGCACTTTAGTAGCTTCACTTTACTCTTAAGCTAAGAAATTCTCGTAGAGCTGATGGACAGCTAACCTAATTCCCTGATGCTTAATAAGAAATGGGACAGAAGAGAAAGCACAATGTGGGGCTCTAGTTCTAGGCAATAACAGGTTCTGTTTTTATTTTATGTACCTTAAATATTCTAGAACTGGGGCCAGAATAGGGGGTTTATAATTTCATTTGTTTATTCAAAATTTTTAATATGCTGATTTGACTTTCTAGGATATATTAAAGAAAGTGGACTGGTAAATTGCTCAGCAGATTAAAGCACCTGCAAGCAGGCGCAGGGGCCGGAGGTTTGATCCTTGGGTCTGCCATGCTGCCTCTGAGACAGCAATTGAGACTGGGTGTGCTGGCACCTGCCTATAATCCCAGCTCTTGGGAGGCTGTGAACAGGAGAATCACCACAAGTCTGATCTAGTAGTGAGAACGTGAACACCCTGTAGACCCTTCCCTAAAAATACAAAAATTAAAAAAAAAATAATAATAAAGAAAGTAGCAGCTCTCTGCAAACAGTGACTCCCTCACCACTTATCCCCACCCCAACCTCCCGCTTCCCTCTCCTAGGTCAGTCACTGTGCAATGAGTACTCAGGGCTGACCTTGTAATGCTCAGTCACAAGCATTTCCTGCGCAGTATCTTCTAGCTACTCAGCTGGGCACGAGGGATAAGGCAAAACAGCCCTGTGCTCCAGGAGCTCTTATTACAGTGCAGAGCACCCAAGTATCACATAATACATACTGGAAAGGGCTCTTTGCCCAGAGATGGAGAGAGCACCCAAATGACAGGTGAGTGATAATGACAGCCAAGCTCCACAGCCTTGAGGATATACTCCTCACAGACAGCCTTACTGAAACCCTTCATAAAGCACAAGCATGTTCGAAAAATAATTCCGTACCTAGTCCAGACTACATGCCAGATTGCTGGGCTTGAAGTACTTAGCAGGTAAGCAATCTCTAAGCTTAAGAAAAACTTTAAGTTCATGGATTTGCCAACTAGGGAATTACTGAAGATATTACCAAAAGTAGTCTAGGATCATCTCAATAAATATCTTTGTTAAACCTATTTAAAGTGAGTCCTTCAGAAAATATCTTGCATTGTTTAAAATAAATTACAGATGCCAGTTGTGGTGGCGCACACCTGTAATTCCAGCCCTTGGGAGGATCAATGTGTGAGTTCAGGGACAGTCTGGACTACAAAGCAAGTTCAAGGTCTGCCTGAACTACACAGTGAGACCCTGACTCAAAAAGACATTAATTAAGTTTTCTAACCAGGGCAGTGCACACCAGTAATCTCAGCACTGAGGAGACTGAGACAGCAGGATTGCTGCAAGTGTAAGGCCAGCGTGAACTGCACAGTAAAACCACGTCTCAAAAAGACAAAAAATAAAATTAAATAAATTTTCTGTTCCTAAGTTACTCATTCTGTGGTGCTAAATCAACCTGAAATACATTGCTATCACTAAGGACACTTCGAGATTACTGCACTGCTGGCTTTCCCATTCTGGTCCTGTTCTGCTTAGGACCAGCATAAACC